TAACAGTGATGACGCCAAGTAAGACGAGTTGGTAGGGATCCCTAAGTCCTAAAAACATCCTAGGACCACTGAGCACCCAAATCTCTTTAGGACATTCAAAAAATGTTTTCAAAAAATATAAGAATGGGGGGGGCAAAACTAAAACTGTCTGCTATCCTAGATTCCCCCTTCCAACAGATGGAGCGTCGGTCCAGGCTTTCAGACCTCGTACCAAAACTCACTTGATCTCATACCCTCTTCTGCTAGGGTACATGGCACCACAACCCTCCCCAGTACCGATCAACCTAGCTCTGACGGACAGGAAGTGCCTTCCTCCCTCGACAATTCCCGTAGCGGCAAGCCCCTAAGCAGGTTGTAGGGTCAATACCCCAGCGCCTGCTATGTCGGACGATCTGGTTATGCCTTCCAACCTCGACATAACTTCCCAGGCCTCAAGCTCCCCCTGGGTTACAGAGCAGCGGCTCCAGCACCGTCCTGTGTCGTCCCAGCCTCGTCCTTCTGACCTACTTACCCAACCAAACAACCTTTTCTGTTGAAAATCCCCTTCCTACCTTCCTTCCTTCAAACCTAGCTTCCCCCCCCCCTTTGGCTCACTGTGTAGCCCTGAAAATCACTCCTTCCCTAAAAAAATCCTAACACTGCTATAAGCAATCACCCCCTTGCCTTCTCTCCCCACCCACCGGTACTAATCCGATCCTAAATCAGTCTGGCTAAGAGACAACAATCCCCCAATACCACCTCCCCCCTCCAAGAATAACACCTCCCACCTTGTGAAACCCTCACGGGGGGAGGCTCCAACCCTCAAGGAAGACACCACAGGTATACACAACAAGCCACAATTACACCCCTCAAGGCCAGGAAGTTGGAATTGACAAGCCAATCCGAATCATATTTTACCGCACGGTGTTATGATTAGTAATGATTAGTAATCATAGGATTTGAAAAACTGCAGAAGCTCACTTTTAGGCATCGGTGATCAGAAACGAATTTGTATTAGAAATCAAGAAAAAAAAAGACCATAGGATCAATGATAAGGAAGACTACTAAGTGACGAAAATTAGGCTTAGATATCCATAACGGATTTTCGAATCTGATTCTCAAACCACGGTTTGAGAAACTCTTAGCAGAGATGTATAGCACGAAAAAGTTTAAGAAATTATTTTCCAGAAACCATACAAAAAACACTGAATCAGATCATCATCATTGAAAATATCCAGAATACGTCTACAACACTCGAACCAGAAATTCAGAACAGAGAAAACACAATTCAGAAAACCTAATTAGATCATCATCATTTGGTGAGCATCAAGGGTTGCGTACTTATCCTTTTTGAATTAATGGGATTAAAGGATCAATCTCGAAAACATTTGTAACAAAATCCAAGAATCAACGCGTCCATAATCATGAGCATAAAAAATGAGTATGTCATGCTAAGAAAACACCAAAAAAAGTTCCTCCATGAATCCTCTCCTCCTCTCCCCTCCCTCCCCCTTCACTCGCATGTGACGTCACCCCTACCTCGCGGGAACCATCGCCCTCGCGCCCCTCGGCGTCCTCACCCTTCAAAACGGGGCGCATGAAGCATCTAACACGTAGCACGGGGAGACCTCATCGGAGCCGTTCACCAGACGCATGGCGCAACAACCCCCCCCAATCTCAACCCCGTCAGCTTATGACGCAAGCAGATTGCGGCACCAAGCAAATCCCCAACACGTACCAACCAAACTAAGAAGATCCATGGAGTAATACCATCGTCAAAACACTTACATGTCCAAATTGATCTTCGTAATTGAGCGTGGATAATGAATAATCTAGGGTAGTTGGATCTGACCCGAAGGCCATGACGGTTCGGGCATGGGCAAGTAGTGAAGCCCGAAGGCCACCATGGACAAGAATAGTTAGAGGCTCGTGCGAACTGACAGAGCATAGAACTGAGCATACTCCTCCCAGACGCGACACCCTGCTATTGATGTTTCGGGCCTGAGCTGGCAGTTTACCCTGAAGGCCACTATGGAAAAAACAGGTAGTCTAAGAGGCTTGTGCGAACTAAAAGAGTACAGTACTGAGCCGACCCCTCCCAGACCTGACTCCTTCCTATGTGATGTACTCTAAGCGCTCTGACTGGACCCAGTTTCCAGTGTCGGTCGAAGCTGGGTAGTGGCGCCAGAACCACCGACGTCTATTGCACCATGATAAACAAAAGAAAACATGTCTTCGGATGATCACCACGTTCCTCGGATCCGATCAACGGTGCCCCGAAAAAATCGAATTGAAGCGCGGGCGTCTGCGCTGGTGGTGTGATGAGAGAAAATAAGAGGTAGACCCCACAAACTTCTGCCAAACCCAAATTGTAGGCCCTGGCGATGGGAAAGACTCGGAGAAAAGGGAACCCCACGACAGCACAAAATTTCGGCAGTTCCTGTTACCCGATAGCGAAAACTTTCCCTATATGGAAACTTCATATCCGCTTGTCTCGGTTCTCACCCAATCCCTGATTCTCCTTTCCATATGGGATGGCCAAACCGAGGGAGGTGCCCCCCCCCCTACTTCCTCATAATGTTCGAACCGCGGGGAACAGGCAAAACAAAATTGAGTGAAAACGTCTGTCACGTCATATCTGAGCGTTTTCCAAAGCTTTGTCGCAAAGCAATGGGGTTGCGAAAATCGTCTTCCAAAGCTTTGCTGCAGAGCAGTGGGGTCCACCTTTAAAGTAAACGTAAACGAATCAGAAATTTAACTGCGCGGAATTGGTCCCAATACATATAAAGTATGTTTTGGGTCTGGCCAAATTCGAACAGAATGCCAGCATAAACACTTTACAAGCACTGCGCTCGACGCGCGAGCCCAGAAAGGAAATGCCGAATCGTGAACCCTTATACTCTCCTTTTTCACTTAGGCCTGGACCCCACTGCCCGGCGGCTGGAAACTGATGTTGGCCACAAAAAATGTCGAGTGTGGTTGGAGAGAACTTGCTGCGTTTCGTTGGGACCCCACCGCCACCCTTGACTCTCGACACTGGAAACGAATGAACATGCTCGAATAGGAAATCCCCTGAGGGTGTTTCCCAAAAAGGCAAGTCGGGTTGGGGTTGTGGTCCATGGCCTTCTATCGGCCTGCACCAAGACATGTGCCGTGTGTGCCCGTGCACGGCCCTGTGTGGCGGGTGCCGCACAAGTACCGTGCAACACACAACGGCCTCACGTGGTCCGCTCGGGTGGCGGGGTTCGTCTGTGCACGAAAATTACCGTTGGGAGCATCAACGGATGTCTCCCCCCCCCACACTCCTGCCGTCGGAACCACTTTTCCCACTCTACGTGCCATCCAGAGTGGGAGTGCAGGTACGAAGCCCTGACAGGAAGCCATAGCCGTCGACGAAGGAGGGGGGTTTGACGAGGAGTGAGGGTCCGTGAAGGTTGTGCGCTCGTCAAGTGGCCACGACAGCTGGTGTGCAAGGGTCAACGCCGTTCCCATCACAGTGGCCATGTAAAGTGAGGGAAGCATGGATGGCCCAGACCCTCGGGCCCTTGGGAGAACCATGTGACGACAAAAAACAAGAGCATGTCCGCGGCGACCTCCCGGTCCAAAAAATGGTCCACGATGAAGGGTGCGTGGTCCACGCCGTCCAGCCGTTGTCTGGAAACGGATGGACATGCCCCCCCCCCCTGCTCGTCTTTACGCCTCCTTGGAAAGGGAATGGAAAGCGGTCGGCGTTGAATTTCCAGACCGTCGACCAAGTAGAAACGCCCCGTCAGCATTTTCGCGATCGCCAACCGAGTAGAAACGCCCCGTCAGCATTTCCGCGACCGCCGACCAAGTAGAAACGGCCCGTCAGCATTTCCACAACCTGCTTCCAAGCACGGTGGGGTCTGGAATTCCTTTCCGGGCCGACTTTCCACACCAGTTTCGAACACTGGCGGGGTCTGGAAAACACTACAGTGCCCGAACTTTTCCAGGCCGCCGGGCAGTTCGCAGTTCGTCAGGGGTGCGTTTTATGTTCCTGAGAACATTTTCGTCGTCGTTCGTTATACGGTCGTTGGAAGGCTGGAAAAACAAGGCATGGCAGTTTAGGGGTTGGTGGCATCTTATTTGAAACTGCAAGACCGGTAGCTGCCCGCGGGACCGCACGAGTTTTGGTCCAGGACCGCGTAGGACCGGTAGCTGCGCATAGGAGGCTGAGGAGGCTGAGGAGGCCGCAGTCCTTTTTCGAAATTGAAACGGTGCGGGTCTACTTTTCTCGAATAGCTCGAATATTGAAACGGTGCGGGTCCACTTTTCTCGAATAGCTCGAATAGCAGAGTTCCTCGAATAGAAAACACACACGTTGTATTCGAATACAACCTGTACCCTTTCTATTCGGATTTAGAAAAGAAAAAACTGTTGTATTCTGATAAAATTACTTCTTCTTTTTGTTGGAGGTTAGCGCCTACCCTTGTGCTCCCGGCCACTGACATGCTGCATGCTGCAGGTCTCTCTCTCTCTCTCTCTCTCTGTCTCTCACACACACACACACACACACACGCACACACATTCTCCTGTCTATTGATGGGGAGCGCCACATGCTGTAAACTGGGTCCAGCGTCCCATAAACATCGTGAATGAAGCACCAACCGGGACCCCACAGACACACTCTCTTCGCGTTGTGTATAGCGAACATGACAAAACATACATACAGCGTAATCACTACCTTACCCTTCCCGAACAACATAAACAAACGAACTACGGGCTGCGCACCCGGGCCCTCACGGTAAGTCAATGGGGTCCAGGCCTTATACTCTGCTACCCTTCCACTATTGCCTTTGTTTTCGGGGGTGTGGGCAGAGAGAGAGAGTGCACTCACGGCAAGCCCGTTTGGTCTGCTCGGCGCTGCCCACAAAGGGAATAGGAAGGCGGCTTTGCGCGGCAGCCGAGTTTTGCTATCACACGCCAAGTTACGGGATTGGCCAAGTGCAAACAGGCGTGGTGTAACGAAGTGCAAACGGGCTGTGGGCAAACGGGCGTGGCGAAGTCCTCTCTCTCTCTCTCTCTCTCTCTCACACACACACACACACACACACACACACACACACACACACACACACACAGACAGGGGTGTTGTGCACGGAGAGGTCCGCGGAGATATGGGCGGAGTGCCATTCAAACTCGGTGCAAAACCGAATGGGCGTGCGTAGACTGGCGTGGGGAAGTGCATTCTCTGTCTCTCTCTCAGAGCGGTGCTCGCGCTTGGAGAGGGGCGTGGAGAGGTATGCAGGGTCGGAAGGATGAGCGCGCGGTGTTTCTAGTCGTCAGAAGTACTGCATGTGCTATTTTATCCCTTTCGCAGAATGGCTAGCGGGGAGAACTGCACTCAAAGTATTTGAGCTGGCCAGATTCAAGCTAATATAACCCATTTGGACCATAAATAAAATCACGAGGACGTGCTCAACTAAAAGTAGGTCTATGTTATAGCGTTGTCCTTCTGCTATTTCTCCTCGGCTTTCTTCTCCTCCTGCCCGCCACCCTCCCGCCCCCCTCCCCCCACCCCCTCCCTCTTCCCTTCTTGATCTTCATTTGTTCGCCATTCCCCCATCGCGACATGCCCTGCCTGTCATAAGTTGACTCAGACGAAAAGCTCATGCCATGTAAAAAAAAAAAAAAAAAAAAAAAAAAGCTCATGCCAAGTTATGCTGGCCGTTTGATCATCTCACTGGCGTGAAATAGTAGACCAGAAGTTTGTTAAAAGAACGAAAGCACTCCGTCGATATTCTTTCCTCCACATCTCCTACTGCGGCAGCTCTTTCAGCACCTCCTTTTGCGATTAACCTCTCGCCCATCGTCGGGTGAATCCCACCCGCCAAACTCCCTCTTATCTTTCTTTATCCTGCTGCCCTTTCCATCCTTTTCCCCCTCCCCGCCGCCCCCCTTCTTGCCTCGAATCTTTCTTCATCCCGCAGCCCTCCCTCCTAACCCACCCTCTCCCAGCTCTTAAGATCCTCGACATCCTCTCGCGATATCCCCCTCCGTCTCATTTTCTTATCCCTCGCTCTCCAACGCGACCTCCTCCCGCGCTGACCGTTCGCACCCCCATCCCATCCTCAAATGGCGAGCTATGCTTTCTTCATTTCCCCTCCTCTCGTCCTCCATCGCCCGAATAGTAGGCTATTCTTCCCGATCTCACTCGGGACTATCACTCTCTGACCCAAAGGAACTGCATCTGTCAAGAGAGAGAGAGAGAGAGAGAGAGAGAGAGAGAGAGAGAGAGAGAGAGAGAGAGAGAGAGAGAG